CCCCCCCAGTCTCAGTTTCTAACTTCACTGATCGTTTACAATTGACAATAAGGTCTTTTTAAATTTTATTTAATTTTATTTACTTTTTTGTCCAAAGAGTTTATACCCGTCATTCCTGTTCCCTTACTAGAAGAGCTAAATGCTTAGTATCACTTAGTAAAGTTATGACTGTTAGTTGGGGTTCTCCAAAAGTCATACCACATTATTGTCTTGGTGCTGGAAGAGATAAATACAGTCTGTAGGAAAGGCATGTTTACCCCTTAATCTCTTAATCTCAACCACTTGAGGTTGTTAGGAACATGAAAGGAGATAGCCTCATCAAACCCTCAGCAGTGTCGCACCGAGCAAGCCCCTTGAGTCTTAGCTACTGCTAATACAGTGTATGGGACCTTGTTCGTGGTTTCTTTTGGCCTTAAAAATGTACATTGCGCATTTTGCATTTTAGTAAATGTTACATGAACAAAAATGCACCTTAGTGCCTTTTTCTTTTGAATTATTTATAATGGCTTATAAATAATTTATATTATAAGTAACTGGTTTAATAAATAATTGATTCTAATTTTGACTTTTTTTTTCCCCCCCTAATCTTAATGTCTTTTTGCAGAAAAAACAAAGAGAATTTGAGGAATACATCAGAGACAAATACATCACAGCCAAAGCTGACTTCAGGACGCTTTTGAAAGAGACCAAATTTATAACCTATAGGTGTGTGCAATGAAATGTTTCATATCAGCAGTCATTGTCTTTACTAGTTCTTACTCTAATGGCCAAAGCATTCTTTGCATTCACACACATGTTGACATTATTAATTTTTAGGAAAAGAAGAAGCCAACTTTTATCAAAGGCCAAATACAGCCCATATCTACGTTACCTTTTTTTTTTTTTTTTTCAAAGAAAGGGCCCAGATGTCAATTCTTATTTTGTGTTACCCACCCATCCAGTTTTTTAAACACACTTTTGTTTTTACTTCACTGCTTTTTTAGGAGTACCCCTAACTATTTAAGAATTGTATTCGTGAAGAGACTTTTAAAATAATCCTTCACTATCCATTATCTTTGCTTCCTGTGGAGACTATTCAGTGTTGTGAAACAGTTTGAAAGCTTGAAATCATCTTATTTAAGCTCAGCAAAAACATTTTCTTTTTTCAGATGATAGCAGTTTGCTGGATACTTTAAAAATTTTAAATGATAAAGTCAGAGTTTTGAAACAAGATTTCTCTGTAACATGCCCAGTAGTTCCACATTCCCAACAGTTTACCATCAGGAAAACAAGTTAACGTTGCTTAGCAGTCAGTGCACAGGAAACAGTTTTGTTTCATGCTCCAGCTTTTCTTCCTTTAAGAGAAAAATTGGAAACATCTTAATGAAGGGTATGTGCACGGGAGGATAGATAGTGCTGAGGGTGTGGTTTTTAGGTATTTTGTCATTGGATTTTTTTGGTCAGGATCCTTAATGTTTTGCATCAGCTTGGGCTTTTAAATTAGATGTGAAGTAAGACTTCTTTCTACATTTTTATAGTTAATTTAGTGAAAGATGTGAAAGTGAAAGCTTGTGAGAGATGCTGGGATTGGCAGCCCCGCAGACTGAAGTCCTCTGTTCATCCACAGAACAGGTACAGCACGGGCAAGATTTACCCACCCACCCTCAGCCCTGATCTGGAGGGACCACCAGTAGGGGTGGGAGGGTAATTCAGCTTCTGAGGCCCTTTCACTCCTTGGAGTCTTTGCTGAGGCGACTTACAAAGGTGACCACTGCAGTGAAATTTTTCTTAAAAAAATAAATAAATAAAATGGAAACACGATTAGGAACTAGATGGACATTTCCAGCTCATTTCTGAAAGACCTAGGAACAGCAGTCAGTAATTCTTGGACTTCTTTTCTTATTTCAGATCCAAAAAGCTAATCCAGGAATCTGATCAGCACCTGAAAGATGTAGAAAAAATCTTGCAGAACGACAAACGGTATCTAGTACTAGACTGTGTGCCCGAGGAGAGGCGTAAACTGATTGTGGCATATGTGGACGACCTGGACCGCCGGGGTCCACCCCCGCCTCCCACAGCATCAGAGCCCACGAGACGATCAACAAAATAATTCTCAGTACTCTTCCACAGGGGGATCTTCATTCGAAACGCTTGCATGAGCCAATTTTCAGGTTTTTACATGTATGTGCATTAGTCAAACTATTGCAGAACCATCTGACGAACAGAAGGAGAAGCATTCGTGAACCGTTTCTGAACAGAGAACACTTTGGAAATAATTTATGCTTTTCTTTGTGTGGCATGACTGACATACATACTCAAATATAGGCTGTCTCTAGTAAATCTAAAATCTCGAAGCTAAAAATCATCCTTTTATGAGGTGTGGAAGTCAGTGACTTTTGGTGACGTTCTTTCTAGCAGTGTTAAACATGCAAGACGTAAGAGCATTTGTGGTTTGAACTTGCAAGATGCAAATACCACATACTCCAAGAAAACCTAAGTTGGGGGTTGTTCTGTTTTGATTTTGTTTTTTAAAGCGGGTAAAAGAGAAAACACTGAAAATTGAATTCTTATCTTCCAGAGGCTAAGATTATAATGGACATACTTTTACCTTTGTCTCTAAAGAACACTTTAGTTTTGTTTGTTCACTTATGTGCTTTGATTATCCCCTCAGAATTAGAGGCCAAGTCTTGTTGTTTAGCCTAAGAGAAGATTTATTTAGTAATTTCTTCTCAGGTATGGAACCATGGTCATAACTAACATATTGGCCAGAATAGGACTGCTGGTTAAACACATTTTATTTACCATTAAGTGATCTTTATCAATATTCTGGATTAGACAACAAATTACCTTTCTTGGGTGTTCCCTGTAAACTATACTCCTGTTTGAATGTTAAACTTTTGTTTCTAAAGTTTAATTTTAAGATGTTTGAATGTTCAGTTTATGTATTTGAACTACAATAAACCAACCCTTTTTATATATGTGGATTGTATATGATTATTGTTAAAGAATTTTTTAAAAAAACTTCTTTTAAACCTGTTCTTAAAAGCAGTAGCAAATGTAATTTGGCACAAAGAAAGTTGACTTTACATCTTAAGTATCACGTAGTTTTTAAAGGCTTGAATATAATAAATTATTTGCTGTATAAAAGGGAAGGAATGTAAAGAACCACTTTGGTGCTCAGTCTCTTAGCAATATCTTATTGCTTCGTAGCAAGAAGATGCGGATTTGTTGTTCTTTTGTTTTTGTCTTTTTATGTTACATGTGGCTGATTGCTGCCTTCTTGGCATCCTTTCAGTGGGTCCTACACATCATACCATGACGCCCACCTTTGACCCCCACTTGCTCTTTCTAGCTGTACCTCCCCAGTTTAAAGACTGCTCTGTCTCCTTCCTTCATAGATTTCTCATTTCAGAGTACCACATAAATGCTTGAGGAAAATACGTTAAATTGGATAATTTGTTTTCCCTGTTATGTCACACCAGCTGTGATTGCAACAAAACATAAAATGAAGAACCAATAGATCTGTATTTGTATGTCATGTGCACACAGACACACATCACATGCATACACAGACTCGTTCACACGTTACTTAGTACTTAGCTTAAGCATATTAAGTGCCACAGAAATTATGTATAGGAAACTGAAATTACCTGACTAAGGTCTTAACCTCTACAACTGAAAATTAACAAGGTATTTTTCTCCCTTTTTTCGAAGGTCGTTTTTATAATTCCACTGAGTGGCTTTTAAGTTCTGTGAGGAATGAAACTGCAATGTTTGCCAAAAGGAACACAACTATTATAGGAATATAACCTACAAAAGTGAACTTTTTAGAATGTTATATTTTTCTGAATTCCACCTAGTATTGTTTGCCCACTCACTACTTTCTGTTTTTCATAGTTGCAAAGTGTGAAAAAAAAATGGTTTGGTGATACCTATTCTAATTTCCTACTTCTGTTGTATTTGGGATTGATTGTTCATTTAAGGTGCAAATCAGACTTCACTATGCAGATTTCCTTAAAAGATCAAGTCAGGACTGTGTATTAGGTTCTTAATGAAAAGGTCATTGTAATTACACTGTGTCTCAAAATGTCCATCTTGACTTGGCGCTTACCAGCAAACTCCTTAAAAATACTTGATTCAGTTTACCCTGAGACCTATATCAGTGTTAAGGTCTGACCTCCCCATAAAGCCCTATTGTGCCAAATAATGATTTTGAAAGGAGCATTCAAGACAAAGACAGCTTTTTAAGTCTCCAAAACTATCTGAAATAAAGCAATTGTTTTTATTTGTTTACAAGTTAAAATGTCAAACACTGGAAGCTTACATCCAACATTTACTATATATAATGAACAGTCTTTAAATCAAATAGTTCCTCACAGACAATTTTAAAGGTACTCCCTTTGTATAACTATTGTCTCACAAAACAATATTTGGATATTTGGGTTAAATTGTACTTTGTGATCTTGTGAGCCTTAAAATAAAATTTGTAATGAACTAAGTAAAATGAAAACAGCCCCATCTTCTGTGTTGAAAAAGCAAACCACAACCATTTGTAAAGACAACAAACCAAAAAACCCACAGACTGAACATTTTTTTAAAGATAAAAGTTCCATCCACGGCATATTTTTATATTTTAAGTTCTCCATGGCTTGGCCTAAAGGCAGTTTTTTTCTGAGGGAACCCCTCAGTGCAAATACCCCAGAGTTCCATTACAAAGTAATCCAGAATCGTGGATAAGTGTCCTTATATCCAACAGGGAAAGGTATCAAAATCATTATGTTTATTGGGTATGATTTACCTTGCTGTAAAATGAATAGTTATAGCCTTTTACTCGAATTATACTGGTAATATGTTTGGGAACACAAAATTGAATAGCACTGCTTTTCTTTCTGCATCGCCCTTGTGCTGTTTCTTTTCTGTTCTTAGCCAAATTCTGTCTTGTATCCATGGAGTTTTTCTTTTCCTACTAATTTTTTTTTTTTAAATATATACACTTTTCTTGTTACTCTTGATCATCTTTATAACAAAGACCCTTAGGTATTTGGGCAGGGTTCAAGTTGAGTGTTTAGGAGACATTTAGTACCATTTAACAAAAAAGACGACCATCCCTATTCCTTCATACTTGAGGGTTGCCTTCAGCAGTTACTACCTTTATCATTAACTTTAGCTTCTATTTATCTTGACTGAAAGATACTGGGAGGAACAGGTAATTGGGAAGAGATAGAAGGGCGGTTTTAAAAGTTCTCTCTCCATATCAGAATTTAGAATGTCATGCTAAGCTGGTAGAATTATCAGAAACTGAAGACAGTTGGCTTTACAAAGACGAGTGAAGCAGGTTATTTAGGATAAGGCGAAGTGTGGATTTACTTAAACTTAGCCAAAAATAAGCCATGGTTTGAAATCAGTCCACATTAAGGTGGTGGTCCTTATTTTGTAACCTTCAGTCATGGAAATTCTACATGGATTAAGCAAACAAAGATAACTCCTTAACATACATTAATGTTTTTAAAATCTCTTAAGTGGAAGTAGTTTTTGAGTTTTGGTTATATGAAAGTTTGATAAGGAACGTTAAGGCTAGCAGGCTCAGGAAGAAAGTAAAAGGAAAGGAGTTCAGCTTTTGGCAAAGATGGGCTCTGCTCCACCAGGTACAGACAGGGTGGTCCTAAGGAGTACCCAGTAAAACCGATTGTGAACAAAGGACAAAATACCTGGAATTTCTAGTGCGTGTGCCGGAAGCATCTTCACACAACACTTAGCCAGGATGTAATTCTGAAACACAATCATTATCACTACCATGGTGTTCTACTTCCCAAATTGCACATTTTGAAAATGCATACTGGGAAGCATTTTTGTAATTCTAGCGTTAGTCATTGTATTGTGTTGTATATAGTAAAGGCTGTAGTGTTGACAAGCAGTGGGACGAGTCAATGCAATAATCACAATTCGTTTGCTTTGAAACTGAATCTATTTGTCACAATCTCCCATCTCCTGATCTTCATGTTCCCAGGGGATAGGGTCATTGTCTTGTACACAAGGGACTGTGTCCCTCTCATGCCAAAACTGCTCTACATCAGGGAGGATGGGGATCTGTGCCTTCTCACTTCTCTCTATGCCAGAGGAGGGAGAGCCGGTTTTCTCTTTCTCTGGGGTGGATGTTGGGGACTCGGGAGATGGGTCATTGTCGGGAGGGACCTCTGAGTCACCAGCTGGTGTTTTCTGAGACTCTGAGGCAGTCGGGTGCTTTTTGGTTATCCATTTCCATAAGCCTTTCAAGTCTTCCTTGAACTCCTCTGACATCACTAGAAAAATGAGAGGATTTGCCGAAGAGATGGAAAACATGAGGACTTGAGACAGGGCTATAAAACCTTGTGGTGGGGCCGGGCCTCCGGCCTTCATGTGCCATATCCACAGCCAGGCTACCCATTCAGGGAGCCAGAGGACAGCCGAGGTGACAGCAATGCTCAGCAACATCACCGTGAGTTGCTTGGAGCGCATCTGGTTTCTAAGATTTTGAGTCTTAGTTCCTCGTTTTTTACACTGGCCATAAGCTCTCCAGAAATAAAAACTGGCAAGGAGTGACGGAAGGCAAAATGCCAGGAGAGGGTAGAGCTTACCAAACATGGCCATGAACTCTTCTGCCACAGGGGGTACATCCATGAGGCACATTTCCACACCCGCATGAAGCCTGGTGGTGCTAAAGAACCATTCGGGCAGGGGTAGCAGGCTAGCCACAGCCCAGATGGCCACCAGCACTGACCAGATGGTGCAGTTGTGGATACTTACTTGCTTGGCTGGGTCACTTGCATACATGAAGCATACTTTGGCCACTGCAACGATCGTCAGGCTCTTGGCTGCCATGCACGTGTGGATGAACCAGTCAGAGGACTTGCAGACAAACCAGCCGAGGTCCCAAACACTTTTGAAGTATGCTGTAGCTCGGACAGGTGCAGAAAAGAGCAGGAGACAGAGATCGGCCAGGCTGAGATTCAGAATCAGGGAGTGGATCATGGATGGCTTTCCTTTCCAGGCGCTGTGAAGGAGGATGCCCATCACGCAAACGTTCCCCATGAAGCCCACCAGGCAGACGGCCACCAAGAGAGCCGGGACGATGGTCCTCCAGTCCTTAGAGTCAGAGGGCAGGTATCCTCCGGCAAAGTGGAGATGAGCAGACGTGTTCATGGTGCTGGAGTTGGAGCCTGCGAAGGCAGTTGCCAGCATCAGCTTTCCCACGCAGCTCGTCCTTACAGAAGTCCGCTTCTTTTTGTCTTTCTGCCTCGGCTCTTCGGTGTAGGAAATAAATGTGCTGTCATCAGTGTCCAGTGACACCTCTGGGCCCTCCCCTTGCTTGTTTCCTGAGAGCCGAATGTGGAAGAAGGTTGGTTGCTCACCTCTGCTCTGTCGCATGCGAGACACCACCGCTGCACTGAACGACGGCAGCGGGGACGCTTGGGTGCTGCTCATTAGCAAGCCTTGTGTCACATCGCCAGCCCTGTGGCGCTAAAACCCCATAGACTCATAAATGATAAATGAGGACCACACACATGTAAGTGGGATGTATTCCTGGGGGGTCACGAGCCAGTGAGGCAATTATTTTCAACCAGCTGTTTCTGAAATCTTGACTGCAGTCTGTAAATCAGCAAACACTGCTGCGGAGAAGTGACTCGTGCACTCCAGCCTGCCCCAGAATCACCTGCATACCTGATCCAGTGGGCCAGGAGGAAGGCCCAAGAATGTGCATTTCCAACAAGTTCCCGGCGGATGTGGACATTGAGGGTTGGGCGGAGGTGTGTGTGTGTGGAGGGGGGCACTGCCCTGTTTTAAAGCAAGAACGAACGCTGCTTTTCCACCTGCACAGAGGAGCTCCTGCCTTGATCCAGCCTACCCACCAGCAGCCACTTGAGGTCAAGCGCACAGAGCTGGATAAAGAAAACGAAAACTGCGAAGAAGGCCTATGTAAAAATCTAATCACAGATGGGTT